CATGGAAAAATTTTTGAATGAATAAAATTTTGGAGTTGAGAATTTTATAACACCTTTTGATCATTAAAATTATTTCAGGATATTGCAAAACCTAGACAGGGAATCACTGACCTAGAAAAACTGAAAGAAATAAACAACCTAATAGAGTTTATAAACTCTATCTAATTAACACAGTTGGCAGTGTATAGTGGTTAGCTATTTACATTCTGGAGTCAGACCCAGGTTTGAATCTTTATTTAAATTGATGTATAATTAGTAAATCATAATATTCACCATTTTAAATGTACAATTCAGTAGTTTTTAATATGTTCACAAAGTTGTGCAACCATCACTATCTAATTCCAAACCATTTTTATAATCTGAAAAAACTCTGTACCAGTGAATGGTCACTCCACCTCCCTGCCTCCTGGCCTCTGACAACCAGGAACAGAATGTTTTCTATTCCTATGGGCTTGCCTATTTTGAGTCTTTAATATAATAGGAATCATGCAATATATGACTTTTTGCAACTGATTTATTTACTTAGAATAATGTTTTCAGGGCTCATCTATGTTATAACATGGAGCAATATTTCATTCATTTTTATGGCCAAACAAAATTTGATTGTGTGGCTATACCATATTTTGTATATCTGTCCATCAATAAATTGACTTTTGGTTGTTTTCCTTTTGGTCACCAAGAATATTGGTGTTGTGAATATTTGTGTGCAAGTTTTTGAATTCGTACATTTTCAGTTCTTTTTTTCTCTTTTTTATTTAAAGAGAAAAAAAGAAAGGACATAAAAAACAAAGCAGTAAAACAGTACAAATAATACAGTATTTCAAGAAAAAAATATACAGTAAGAAATCACCAGTTAACAGGTTACATATTATCTTCCCAGGAACAGTTGTCCAAATTACAAAATTAAAGCATATAAAGTGGACATTCATACACATTTTCAGTTCTTTTGTGTATGTACCTAGAGGTAGAACTGCTGTACACTTAACAGTTTTAGGAACTGCCAAACGATTTCTCAAAGCTCTACCATTTTATACTCCGTTCAGCAATATGTCTTCACTGACACTTGATATTCTATTTTGCTCTATTATAGCCATCCTCCATGTATGTCAAGTAGTATCTTAATGTGGCTTTTTATGTAAAGCATTTTACATAGTACTCAGAATACATGACTCTCTCTAGCTTAAGAAATACGTTATCGATAATTACTGAATACCTAGATTGTGGGAGTCACCATGCTGTTAACAAAGATATAAAGTTATACTAGTTAATCTTTTTATGTTGTTGTTTGCTATTTGTAAATATTTTTTTAAAAAAATGTCTATTGGGGCTGGGGATTTAGCTCAGCAGCATAAGTGCCTGCCTTGCAAGCAAGGCAGTTGTGAGTTCCATCCCTGGTACTGATAAAAACGAAAAAGACAAAAAAAATGTATATTTAATTTCTTTGGCTATTTTTAAATTGGGCTGTCTTTTCTATTGTTGAGTTGTAGAGTTCAGTATATTTGTAGATGCTATATCCATAAAAGCCATGATTTACAAATATTTTTACCTATTCTGTGGGTTCTCTTTTCACTTCGTTAATGAAGCTATTTGCAAAATTAAAGTTTTAAGTTTTGATGATGAACTAGTTATTTGGATTTTCTTTGATTTCTTATTCTTTTGGTATCATCTAAAAAACTGTTTCCTAAACATAAAGATTGACACTTATCTTTACTTTCCAGAGTTTTATAGTAGTTTTAGTCTGTATGTTTAGGTCATTGATACATTTTGAATTACTTGTATGTATGTTATGAGATAGGGCTTCAGATTCATCTTTTTGCCTGTGGAGATCCAGTTGTCCTAGCATCAGTTGTTAAGGAAATTATTCTTTCTTTATTGAATGATTTTGTAATACTTGACAAAAATAGATTGACCATAAATATATGTGTTTATTTCTCCGTATTTCGAGTATGAATGTTAGCTTTGTTATTTGCAAAGAAGTGTGATCATGTGTAAATTACCTTTTCTTAAATAATAATACCTACTTTTTAGAAAATCATGAAAGCTAAATGAGATAATGGATGTAAAGGGTGTTGTAAAGATACTTAGAGCCTCATGCAGGCAAGGAAAGTGGGGGAGACTTGAAAGAATGCCTAAACATTAGGTATAACCAGATGGAGATTTCATAAATGAGCGAAGAATAAACAGATATTTGAAGAAATTGAAAAAGTATTCAGTTTACCCAAATTTCCTAAAGCAGATACTATATTATATTAAAATAGAACAGACTATAAATAGTATTAAAATTACTTAAAGCAAGCAACAGACTGTAACCATCTGGTATTATTCTTTATAGAGCTGAAATAAGTTAAGCTAGGTTACTTTAGAGTACTGATGCTTGACTTTTCTGTCAAGGACTCTTATGATAATCCTTTGAAAGCTGTAGACAAACTGTCTCCCTGGGGAAAATGTGTATATGACATTCACATAACATTCTTTGTTTCAACACATAGGCAGGCATCCCTTTTAGTAATGCTACTGACCAATTTAGGTAGTTTCCAACCCTGACATTGAAGAATGCAGACATCTGCTCTGGAAAAGATAGTGATAGAAGTATAGTGTGAAGTGGGGATGGGTCTAGAGGAAAGAGATATGATTCTAGAAGAGACCGGTACGAGGCAGGCAAATTCAGAGGGAAGCAGAGATAAAAACAGAAGTGAAAATGTACTGTTTAGAAACCCTCTTATAAATAGTCAAGATAAACCTAAATGAAGGAAATGAGATGGTTGAAATAGGGAAAGAGCACAGACATTGGCATTAGATTGACCTGTACTCTGGGTACTGGCTGATTTACTTGATGACTCACAATCTCATTTTTCTAACTATATGGTAGATATAATACTAATTCTTCTCCAAGGTTTTCTAAAAGAATAGATTGAAATAATATTTGTGGAATGGTTTACGTAGGACTCATAATACAAGAAGTACTCAATAAATGCTATATCTCCTCTTCTTATTTCTAGTTAAGGAGTTCGTAATTAACAGTTATTAAATACATAGTTTGGAAGAGGCACCATGCCATGAACAAAAATGTGAAATTGTTGATGCTCTTGAGCAGAGAGAGGTAGTTAAAAAATATGTATGTAAATGAAATAAAACAATGTTTTGAAAGCCACCAGTAGTTGAAATGCTAAATGTGTAAATAAGTGAATTTATAGGTTTTTAGATTTGGAATTTGGTGGTATTCACCAGACAGAGAAAACGAAAAGGTAGTAGATTCTTTAGAAGGAGTTGTGCTTCAATTCTAAGATTCATTTGTTCATATATATGTATATGTATATATATATATATATATATATATATATATACATACATAAAATGAGTTTTAACTTTTTTATAGGTGAATGCTATAGACGTTATAAGCCACAAAATCCTAGGAACACTTTTCAAGCACTTGTAAACGGTAAAATAAAAATACCACACATTTCACCTTTTTTAAAAAAAAAAGTAGTTATACAAACCTTTGAACCTACTGAATTGAGAGTTGCTGCTTCATAAATTTTTCCCTTTTACAGTTCAGTTTACTGTAACTTTTCATTAAATAGCTCAGTACGTTTAAAAGGTTCAGCTTTTAGAATGTACATCTGTTATACTTATTCACTCGTATAATTGTACTTAGTATTCAAGTATCTTGTGAAAGTGATGTATCAGATATCACTGATACATGAGAGTATCTGAACATATACCAACACAAAAATACAATTTTAAGCCCTGGTGTAGGTTTCTAGTAGTATGAGATATTGAACAAAAGCTTTTTCTTTTCTATAAATAGAGTTGCCTTTTACTTTTCTATAAATAGAATTAACATTTTCAGCCAATAAGCTGTTATTTATATTTTTCCTTAGTTTAGACTACCTTAGAACAGGCATATGGATTTTAATTACTAATGACAGTACATATTTGTGTATGTGGCTCAGAAATACCAGTTGGAAGGCAGAAAGAGTAAGTGGTTAGTTTCTTATTGGTTGAGGTAATTTCTTTTGCTCTCAGGTGTACACTAAAATGAAGGTTATCAGTTTTGAAAATTTCTGGCTGCTTACGTTGCTAGTTTGTATCTAGATCCAGACTTGCATCTGGTTGTTTTTGACAGAATGGAAAGACACATGGGAGATGAGCTTTAGAGCAGAATCGTGCTAGTTTATAGGTTAATAATAAAACGAAGATAATGTCACATGATGATATGACTTTATCATTTATCAGCAACTATTACTGAGTAAGTCATAATGCTGAAGTTCTTTCTCATTCGACTTGATGAAATTAAGGCTTTTCTGAAGGTAAGAAGAAAGGAAAGTGAAAACTACCATCTTTTGTCTCTAGTAACTCAGTTTATTAGAAATGGAATGGAACAGAAATTTCGATATGTGGTAATAGGAAATAACTGAAGTTCACATTCTGAAGAACTTATTATGAACTTAGAACATTTTTTCTGTAGCTCTCTTTTTTATGCAGGCTTTCCGAATGGAGTCATTTCAGGAAGTAGAGTTAATTTGAAATACGGCCCTGTTTTCCTTCCACTGGTTGTGAAATAGAAGCAGCTCTTATATCTTGCCTTGAAGTGAAATAGAAAGCAATATTGGAGAATGGAGATTGAGAATTTCTAGGGCCTCTGGCTCATCACAGTTCAGAAGAGATGTCAATGGAACATATGGGAGAGAATGATCCATATGGGAGAGAATGATCCATGCCAATGTTATGAACTGGAATGGTAACATTAATCAGGAAACCAGGATTCAGAATTGGCCATTCAATTCTATTTATTAGTGCAGGAGAATAAATTTAGGCACTTGTCAGAAACAAGATTTGAAAGGCGAGAAAGGCCTTTTGATTAATTCCAAAATCACTTTCTTATGGCCCAAGCATCCCTAAGGAGTCCAGTATGTAAAGTCTCCAGTGGTTAGAATATAATTATGACCTAGCCACTTTAATTTGGAAAGGCTTAATGAATTGCTTTGTATTCCTTGTAGGTGAAAACCCAGCCTCCGTGGTTCTTAATGCTTCAGCAGGATTATTTTCACTAAAGATGGAAACACTGGAGTCTGAATTAACCTGTCCAATCTGCCTCGAATTGTTTGAAGACCCACTTTTGCTCCCATGTGCTCATAGCCTGTGCTTCAACTGTGCCCATCGCATCTTGGTCTCAAACTGTAGCTCTGGTGAAACAATTGAACCTCTCACTGCTTTCCAGTGTCCTACATGCAGATATGTTATCTCACTGAACCACAGGGGCCTGGATGGTCTCAAAAGGAATGTGACCTTGCAAAACATTATTGATCGCTTCCAGAAGGCTTCAGTAAGTGGGCCTAATTCCCCAAGTGAGAACCGACGGGAAAGGATATATAGGCCCAGTTCTGCCATGTCTAGTGAGCGAATTGCTTGCCAATTCTGTGAGCAGGACCCGCCAAGGGATGCAGTGAAGACTTGCATCACCTGTGAGGTCTCCTACTGTGACCGTTGCCTGAGGGCCACACATCCCAACAAGAAACCTTTCACCAGCCATCGCCTGGTGGAACCAGTGCCAGACACACATCTTCGAGGGATTACCTGCCTGGACCATGAGAATGAGAAAGTGAACATGTACTGTGTATCTGATGACCAATTGATCTGTGCCTTATGCAAACTGGTGGGTCGTCACCGAGACCATCAAGTTGCATCCTTGAATGACAGATTTGAGAAACTCAAGGTAAGGGATCTGGGGACTATCCCTTACATAAGTTTGAGCCTTCATATATAATTATACAGTTATCAAGTGCCCTAATAAAATGGGTCATTTTTCCTATCTGATGAGTGAGTTAACTCCAAGTTGTTCTCATGAGGAGCAACCTACTCACCTTAAAGCTCTCATGAGAAATTTTCCGTTGCATAAACTTGATTAATATACTTCTGGACAATTCTGAGGGAGGTAGGCCATGGCTTACTCTGTCAGTAGTCTGTCCAGGGAGGCAGTATCTTCTTTGAACTGTCAAGTGACATTGAACAATACGTATCTTTGCTGTGATCTTTCTACCTCTTCTTTTAAGTGAGTTGCTGTGTAATGTGCTACAATTGGCATATTTGCTGATTTGCATAAATTTGGGTGTGTCTATGTAGGTATAGGTGAAGGTGTCTGAGTCTATGTGGATGGTAGGTGAGAGATTTTTATGGAGGGCTTTAACAAATATTTGTGGTTGCACATTTATTATAGTGCAGAAACAGAAGTTTGTCATTAGCTATTACAAATAGCCATTAATCATTTAACACAGATCTAACTCTAAACTTGCCTTACAGAAGAAAATAAACAAAAAAGAAACTGGTATACCGTGAAATCTGGAGGGATAGTCAAGCATCTAAACTAAAAATGTAAACTGAAGCAATATTTAATAGAGTATCAAGTCTTTGGCCAGTGTGTTTTATTGTGGGCAGTTAGACAGAAGCACTTGTTTGCTATCCCTGCCTCAGTTGTTCCAAGTCTTTCATTTATATCTAGTGGACGATTTTCTGAAGTTGTGCTGCATGACTTTTATATACATTTTTCCTTCCTTTCCTTCCTTTTCCTCCCCTCTCCCTATTTTGAGAAAGAAGGATAAAATGAAAACTGAGGTTTGTGAACAGGGTGAGAAAGGGCATTTGAAAAGAGGGAATGGGAATGGGAAAAAAAGAGGAAACAAGGTATGAGAAAGTGAACATGTAAATTTCTCTATAATGAATTTGGTCTTCTGTATACTTAAATTGTATCAATAAATTTAAAAAGCAAGAAAAAAACACTGAAAAAATTTATATACAAGACTGAGTGCCTATTTCTAAAGTTTTCCTATTTTATGTTAACAAATGTCAAATATAGCAAATTGTTTTATTCCTATTGTCTACCTACTATGTGGTATGATTTCTCTTAAGTAGGAAACTAGTTAAGGATTCTCATAAAAATAAAATATGGAAATGGATAGTAAGACTACCACCTCAAAATAATGCTTTAAGATAGAATGTAAGCTAGAAGAAAGACCTAAATAGTTTGTAAGTGAGACCAGAATGGAGTAGAGATTTTCCTTCTGCCATATTCTGGAAAATTCATTCAGACTCAACATAAAAAGTCACACACAAGCTTAAATATTATGTGGTTTCTCTTATGTGAGAAACTCAAATTATAAATGAAGATCAAAATAAAAGAAACATAATAAGAAATAGATATAGATCCTTTTCAGATAGGAAGGGGATTGAGAGATGGAGGGGGAGGGAGGTAAGGGAAAGAGATGGAAAAAGGAATTAAAATGTGCTAGGTACATGTACCAACTCCACACAAGGAATGGAAACTTGTTCTATAAGCATGTACCAATAAAATTAAATTATGTTGATGAGAGTAGCAGTAATATAGGATACATGTTTTCCTTCTATAACTTGTTGTAGGTAATCTTGAGAGTGGTCACACTGACAGTGGTTTGTATCTATTTGATTATTGTTTTATATTTAATGAGCATAAAATTCAGTGTTTATCTTTTGTGTTCATTGAAGGTGATACTTTCATGTAAAAGCTGAAGAGGGGAACTTATCTTTGATTTCAGTTTTTAGAATCTTAAAATATTCTGTCTTGGGCTGAGCCCTATACTTTAAAGATGCATAAAGTGAGGCTTTACTAATATATGTGATTTGGTTAGTCACAGGGCTGGTTAGTAGTACAAGACCTGTATCTGAGGCTCAGGTCCTAGACGGTGTTAACTATTCTTCCTATTGTACCCTACTGCCACTTTTTTCGGATGTAAGTTTTTCCCAGGAAGTATGATTTAAAAATTTAACTTTATGCTCTAGAAACTATACATTTCATGGATCATAGATAAATGATTATCAGGATGTATTGTATAAACTTACAGCTTCACAATGACAAAAGATGGGGGTGGGATTGTAGAAAGAATGGAAGACGTGGAGAGGATGGAACAATCTCTGCCAAATATTTGCAGGTGTTAGGACTATAATAAGGCACTGGCCTTGAGAGATATTCCAAACAGAAATATCTGTATCCGTATGTACTGCTGAGATAACAAAAAGACTGGATAGAGTAAGCCTGTATCTACAGAACAACAGCTATTTGAAAACATCTGATGATTGATTAGACATATGGCATCATGGAGCTATATAGGGATAAAAAGAACACAAAAGTATTTTGTCAAAAGATGCTTCAGTCTGTGACTAAACAGTAGTTTTTGCAGAAAGGCAGGACAGATTTTTTAATAATTCTCATTTAATATTTTGGGATATGTGCAGAAGATTCTGATTATAAATTAAATGGAATCTATTTTTACTTATTTTTGGATGAAGAATGGAAACATATGAATCATTCCCAATTATGTGGTTTGTTACATTTTCTAGAACATCTTGGGCTTTGGGGAGAAAAGGGAGGTCTGCTTGTGTGCATGTGTGTGTTTGGAGGGAGTCACTCTGGACTTGGTTTGGTGCCAAATGTAGAAAGACAGTATTTCTGCATGTTAAATAGAGAGGAATTGTGACTTTTAGTGCCATATATAGTCACTTCTCTGGGTTAATTTTAAAGTAAAAAAGCATTTACGATTATCCTCCTAATCTGCTTGATTCTTCCCTAAGGATATAGGAGAAAGCTGATTGGTGGGAGCTATGAGGACCCTGCCCCGGCATACTCCCCTGGCCTTAGGAGGAGCAGGGAGTTCTGTTAGGACAGGGAGGAGTGATAGGGCACACACACACACACACACACACACACACACACACACACGCCTACGTATACATACAATCTCAAGGAGTTTGTCTCTGGGTAGTAACTGATACGATGTTTATTTTTACTTTTTACTTCTGGAGCTTCTTTTTTGGCATTTATAATACCTTTTATAATAATCTCACTGATTAGGATTAACGACCGCTGATATTTACTTGTTCAACAAAGAATAAGGAAGCCATAATGTTACAGATAAAAAAAAAAAAAATTAGCTTCTCTTCTTAATATATATTCAATGAATTCAGAGGGCTTGGGATATTTATATAGTTTTATGATCTTATTTAACTATGTAGTCTACTTATAAGGTTAAAATGCATGACAGATGTCCCTGAGAAGATACCAATGATTCAATTAATTCTTCAGTTTCCAAGAATACTTGTATTCCTGACAGTCATTATAGTCGTAGGGCCTATCATAATACTTATTTTCTCCATTATCTCTCCTTTTTCCACTTACTAGTCCATACACACACACACACACACACACAGACACACACACACACACACGTATTATGTGTATATATATATTTTTCATGATATATGCTGCATTTCTGTAAAACTGTTTCACATTTCAGAATTTTCATCCTATGAGATCCTCTCTTTATAAAATGTTAATGTTTTTGTATTACTAAATGTTAGCTTTATAAAAGCAGGTAAAATTTCAGTGGCTCTCTTTTGCCAATAGACTTCAGTTTGATATTCTAAGTGCTATACAAGTTGATTTCATGAAGACCATTTATCTTTTCCCCTTAAAACTCTGAAGCAGCTTCTTTCATTTACCTAAGTGAGGCTCCTTACTGCCTGCTAAACAACTCATTTTGTTTTAACTTTCATTAGCATTCTTCCTTTGGCTTGCTTAGAAAGTCTACCTACTCTTTAGTGTTAAATTCAAACTCCACAAATCCAATCCAACACACCTCAAGTACTTCATAAATTCCTTGAGGCCAGACACAATGTCCTTTATTTTTCTAGCATCTTCTTAATTATCTAGCATACATATATAATGCTAAAGAAATCCAACTGAGTTAAGTCCTCATAATGGTTTTTTCAAGAAGTATACTAGTGACTGTAACTTACTTCAGTTCTCATCTTAGTAGATTAAAAATCGTATGAATACTTTAGAAGTCTGAAATAAGTCTCCTGTGAACTACTGACAATCTTCAGAACCAGAGTGTTAGCAAAAGTATGGAATGTCTTTAATTGTGAGTGCCTATTCATTTTGATTGCCAGATTTTCCAACTGCCTAACTCTATGGTCACATCTATATAATCAGATGTGATTAATGTAGTTCTTTTCAAGAGTGATTTCTTCATATTTTCATGCTCACAGCCTGCCAAAAATATAGCTGATGAAAACCAAGGAGAATAGAGGAATTTTCTGAAAGGAATAAATAAGCTTATTTCCTTATTCTCTTTACAGTTACCCAAATTTATTATTATAAATAAATCTTAACTGAAGTTAGATTTACATGTCAGGAACATTGTAAAATATTACCTGACACTGGAATAAAGTTTTTGGCATGAGGAAGTAAAACACTCTATCTATAGAGACTGAGACAGAACAAGAGATGGTCAAACAAAGAAAGGAGATATGAGACTTGGGAAATATTCAGAGGAAAACCACAATTAGAGTTAAAATGTTGAAAAATATGACATTGTAAAATTTTATCACAGTTTGTTATTTGTCCTTCCAGCTCAGTCATCCATTCACTCATTGTCACTCAGCCACCATCTCTTTCCAGTCATTTGTCTACTCACTCACTTGACACTCACTTCTGTTGCCAAGATAGACATTCTCTCCACATTTGTACGAATGAACATTTGACTATTTCTGAACCAGTATACATGTGAATGAAAATGTAAGAAAGAGAAATAACTTTAGAGGGACTGGTTTGGGAGAGGGTATATTTTCATACTTGTATGTGTGCATTGTTATGTGCGAGTGTGTTTTCTGCATCAGTGGTAGCTA